CCCTGGCCCACTCTCCAAGCAACACCCCCATCTGAGTTCCTTGGCCCTCTGGACAGTCCTGGCACCAGAGCCTGCTCAGTTCCAGAACTGGTAGAGCCAGTTAGCTGGGGGAGAGGAACAAGGCCAAAGGAGGGGCCCTGGGGCTGGAGTTTGCTGGCCCTCAAGCCCTTAGCCAGGACAGCCCTCTGACACTCACTGGGGTCCAGGGGTACCACACCCCAGTGTGGGTAGTTGGGGTGGGGGTGGGGAAGGACATCCCTGAAAACATGCAGAGTCCCCACCCCAACCTGGGATCGCCTCTGGGAGCTCCTATCTCTATGCTTTCCCCACCTCACAAATAGCCATTACCCCCCTTAAAGGGGCTAAAATTCATTTGAGTACCAAGTAGCCTTTACCTCTGACCTAATTCATCAGGCAAGTGTCCCCAGGGTAGCCCAGCCTGGAAGCAGAGGAAAGTCCCAGTCCCAGGGAGCTGGCCTTGAACTTCTAGAGTGATGACTTTCACCTCCGCCATCCCCAAATGGGTCTCCTCTCCTGGTCCCACTATGCCTTGGACACTTCAATTTGGTGATCATTACCTGACCATACCAGGGTAACCTGATGCTACAGGTATTGGCCAGGGTCACTGGAGCCCTTTAGGCTTCTGATGGGAGGGACATGGCTTAGCTCCTGCCTCAGTTACCCCAGCTGGGCTCCAACCACCCCAAGGAAGCTCTAAAATCTGAGCCAGTTCTTCAAAGACTATTTTTGCTGGAGGTGGGCAGGTCTCCACAGACACTGAGCTACCCTGGTGGGAAACCAGCAATTCCTACCAGATATTCCTACCCTAGCTCTGCCAGAACCTGCTCAGGCCAGACTCCCCACAGGCCTGGGGGGCCAGCTGCATCTTTTGAACCTCTCTGGGGGGAGGAGGGAAGGACCAGCAGTGCCCCAGCCTGCTAAGGGTGACCTGTTCTGCAGGACTGTTACAACGGCATTCATACACACACACATCCATGCACACGCATGTAAACATGGACCCACCAGGTCTCATCTGGCTGATGGCAGAGAACCTCCAAAAAGGCGGGACCTAGAAGAGGGTTCCAGGTCCAGGAATGTTCCCCGTCCAGGGCCCCACCCACCTGGGAAAGGCTCAGGAAACAGCCAAATCTGCTGGCCCTCAGGACCAGGGTCAGGCCCAACCCAGGGCAGGAAGAAAACAGGATGCAGCTCAGGAAAGCCGGGAAGGCCCAGCAGAGACAGCTCGGGCCCAGGCCATGGGTGAGGAGCTGGGTCAGCTTGTCTGCTGCTCAGAGCAAAACTCCGTGTTCACAGCACAGCCTCTGAGGACCTGGGACTGGAGGACACCCTGTGGACGACTGGCCTGAATCTCCTGGGGGACACCGAGTGGCAAAGTCTGGAATGCTCATCTGGGATCTGGTCCTCACTCCCAAACTGTCCAAGCCAGGTCACTACACAGGGTCTGAGGCTTCAGGCCCTGGGGGGGGGGGTCTTTCCCTCCAGGTGGCCCAAGGCCCCTCCCATCTGCAGGGTCTCAGTGCTCCCTGGAAGGAGACTCAGGCTGGTCTCTGTCTCAGGTCCTGTCATAAGCCAATTCACTGTCCTCAGGCTCCTCAGGAAAACTGGACAGCACCACCTCAGTCAGCTCCATCATGGTATTTGGGGGAAGGGGGCTGGAGCAGGTAGGAATCTAATCCACCCAGATCCTTTGGGACCTAGCTGAGCTAGTCCTGCTGGCCCAACAAAGGACCCTGGCAGCTGAGCCAACAGCCCATAGTTCATTTCTCCAACAAGGTGTTTCCCTCTGAAGGTAGGTAAACACAGGAGCCTCCCTCCCTCCTCTCTCTGTGGCCCCACATTGAGGGGCTGGCTCACCTGCCACCCACAGACCTATAAGCCCCATCCCATGCCAGAGCTAACCAGGAGCCATGCAGGAAGCAGTGAAAAGTAAGGTCTGGTTTCTATCAAATGCCTTCCAGCTGGGGCTGGACTCCTGAGGCCCTGGGCATTTGCTGGCACCTGACCTTTCTCTCATGGGAATGAGAGAGGGTGGGACTAGAATTCTGGCCTCTGGAGCTGTGACCAGCTGGCTGTGGGGAAATGGTTCCCTCGATCCCACTCTAACTGCCAAGAGCAAGAGAGAGCCCTGAGGAGCAGCAGCATGGGAGCNGCGATGGCCAGGAGCAGGGACTCTGCCAGGGGCCGGGCGTTCTCATCATCGTCCTCTCCCTGCTTGGGACAGAGCACCCAGGGTCCACCTTAGTGGTAGCTGGCCAAGGAGAGGTGGCCCCAGGACTTGGGGGGTGGGAGGAGGACGGGGTCGGGGCCCAGGCCGGCTCTGTGGGCAGAGGGATGAAGGAAGAGGCAGGAGAAGGAAAAGGAAGTGAGCTCCTCATCACCCCACACCTCCCAAGGCAGAAGGGGACACCGTGGTGGATGGAACTGGGAACAGCGAGGGGCCCTCCCATTGACTGGGAGGGGACAGGCCGCATCCCCTAAACTCTAGAGCCTCAGCCCGTAGGCCAGGCTTCTAGAGATAAACCCAGGGAGGGGACGGGTGGGAGAGGGAGGAAGAACGCCCAGCTGCCTGCCCCCATCTTCGCCCAGCTGTAGGGGAAGGGACCCCTGTGGGAGAGGAACCCAGAGCTCACAGAGCAGGCGTGGACCCCCACTCCCCTCACCCCTGCACTTCCCAACTCTCAGGAGAGGTTTGGAGGAATGTGACTGGACCTGAACCTGGTCCTCTCCCTGTCCCCACAATTCCACCTCCCACCAGCCCTACCCGGCCCAGCCCACAGACCCCTCCGCGCCCTGCCCCGGGCACTGTGGACCAGAAGAAGCCCCTCCAGTCAGGGTCCTCAAAGATGTAGGGCAGCACTCGGGTGAGAAGCCGGCTGCAGTTCAGGACAATCTGCTTCTCCTTCTCCGAGTGGCAGCCGCTCTCGGCTCCCTGCACCAGCTTCTCGACAGCCTGCGGGATGGAAGGATGAGGGGTGGGGCCCTGGCACTTGGGGTCAGGATGGGCACCCCAGGCTCCAGAGAGGGAAAGGCAGTGGGCCACAGGTGGAGGCCCCACCCCGCAGGGCCACCTGTCCAGATAGGGTCAGCCAGCCCAGGTGGACGGGATGTGGGCCAGAGAGCAGCCTAGACCATCAGCGAATGAGAGCCCAGCCCACCACTCATTGGCTGAGACCTTGCTAAGTGACCACCTGCCTCCTGAGCCTCAGTTTCCTCATCTGTAAAATGATGACACTAATAATACCAACAGCAAAGGTGAGCTAACCGAGCTGACCTGTGGAAAGTATTCGGCAAGGTCTGGCCTGGAGGAAGCCTGCACAAATGGCGGCAGCCATCATCACTTCCCCAGAACCCAGAGCCCAGGCTGTGGAGAGCAGCACATGAAGCCTCAGGACTGCCCGCACCTGGGTGGGGGGGTGTCCAGGGTGCCTGCCCTCTCGGACCACAGGGCTGGGCCCGCTTCAAACTCCCTTAGAGGGTGGTAAATGGGTTGGCTGGGAGTAGCAGTAAGGAGCCAGGCACCCCTCACCTTGTAGCACAGAGTGGCCAGGTTGGAGGGTGACTCCTCTCGCACAGCTCGGATCTCTGCCGCTGGCACCAGCGCAAAGACGTCCTGCACTGAGGTGGCTGTGTCTGCCCAGAACTGGTCCCAAAAGGCGTCATCAGTGGCTTCCACAGGCTGTGGGAGAACCCAGTGTCCAGAGTTGCACAATCCCTTACCAACGGGCCCACAGTTTGCCCAACCTTGGGGGCCAAGGAAGCCCCCAAGAGGGAAGCCACGGCCCCTCTACTCCATCCTTGCTGGTGCCTCGAAGCATTCCTACATGGGGCCATCCTTCAGCTACCATGAGCCCCGGCTGGCACGGGCAGGCTGGGGACACA